ATACAAAAATTTCATATCTATTTCAAACACGTGACAAAAAATCCGGTGATTTATGGTAGGGTAGTGTATATATAATTCCGGGAATTATATAGTGACGCAAATTATATACAACATATATATCGAAGGTAGGTATATAACAGGTATATGTATATGTATCAAAGGTAGGTATATATCAGATATATGTATATGTATCGTAGGTATTGAGTATATCATATATGTACTAGATATATGTGTCAGGTATATGTGTGTGTACTTAGTCCCGTCAAACTCACAATAACATGCCCCGATAACATGTATATAGCATTTGCGTGATTATTTTTTTGCCTCCTTCGATCTCCTAAAAAGCGGTCAGGATTGTCAAACCGGGACACGATATATCACATGTGGCCTGATATACAAAATGCGCCACCTTGGTGTGTGTCATAAAAAGCAAAATGAACGTCACTCGAGCGTGTCCTAAAATGCAAAACGCACGCCATACTGGCGCATGTCTCAGCGGTTCTCAAGTAATGATACAAATGCAACCTATATACCACCCGATATATAGACTATAAACGTCTCATCTTTGACGTGAATTTCATTTTTTATGACACACTCGAGTGACGTGAATTTTGCTTTTTACGACACATACCTGAGACTATAATAGTCTAATCTAAGTCGTTTGGAGTTTATATAAACTCCAAACGACTGTGATGAACCACATCAAAGAGGGTATTCCTGGAAATCTTTACCAAACATCAGCTGCAGGGGGTCACTAAACACTGGGTGCTTAGATTGGCCATACATGGGTGTAGGAAGCATCATGACCAGTATACTAGACACAAGGTGGAAGGCAGTAGGCCATGCAGCATAATGCTGCACAGGGTAGCCTCAGGACCTTGGGTCCAAACAACAGCCGCAGGGGTTGCTAAGCACAGAGTGAGCACTTAGCTTGGCCATACACGGGTGCCGGATACTGTGGGTCGCCAGATTCACTAAATAGATACAGGATACAGACCCAGTGAAATAAATTGAATTGAGCAAACGCGTAGTGCGTAAAGGCAAAAGCGTGGCGTTCAGCGACGAGAATCTGAGCACGGGTAATGGAAAAGGTTCAAGAATCTTGAGCATTATGAGCGCGTGGACAAAGAGCGCGGTAAGCATCTAATACTTACAGAGTTGTGTACGTGAGATTTGAGAGAACGGCAGGATTTGTTCGCAGTCAGGGATTTTTCAAATTTGTATGGCGATGATCATTCCTTTGATGTTATAGAAACACGAGTTGGAGTTTTGCGTTCTTTATTTGTTTACCTACGATTGAGAAACACGAGTTGGACTCTGTCTATTCCGGCCTTTTTTATACCCAATTTTGCTGCACCAAAAGATTATATATTAATCTTTACCATAACCTATCATGTAAGACTTCTGGTCGCACAGTTTGCAAACCTGCAACTTACAGTGTATTCAGTTGGTGTTTTATCTTATTAAAAACCATTTGACTAAGAATATCTATTTTGTACTTTCAATATATATCGAGTTATCCGACAAAAATAAGTCTGAACCGCTGGAATTTTGTCGATACTTGAATCGTAATAGTAAGACGAAACGTATCGCTACGAACGATGCTCTTTCATTCGTTTTAAAATTTCTAATTTCTACTTTATGGTTTGAAGATGGAGAGTAACGCTGTAAACAATCTTTTAAATGCTTTTTCGAACGTAAGTCGTTTTATATTACAAGTTCTTCTGAGCTTGCAAACTGTTAAGCGCGATGGTAGTCTAGTCAATAAGTTACTACCATAACCCATCGTGTAAGACTTCTGGTCGTATCAACCTTCCTCAGAGTGCAACTTACAGTGTATTCAGTTGGTGTTCTATCTTATTAAAAAACATTTGACTAAGAATATCTATTTTGTACTTTCAATATATATCGAGTTATCCGACAAAAATAAGTCCAACATTGAATGGATGTTGCGTTCGTTTAACCCTGAACCGCTGGAATTTTATCGATACTTGAATCGTAAGACGAAACGTATCGCTACGAACGCATATTTTGATGCTCTTTCATTTGTTTTAAAATTATCAGAAAGAATTCCCAAAGAGAGAATGGCTTTATTTCAGGAAATTCAGGAAAAATGGAAGGTGAGAACGTAGATACACTTACCTCTTATGATATACCTTAATACATTTATTTTATGCAGAATGGAGTTTTCAATAAAGACTGGAGTGTGTATGTCGCGGAAAAATCAGCGACAATATCTGTAATGGCGTGTTATAATATCCAAAGGAGTTATAATCGTGAGGTTTCTTCTCACTCCTTAGTAAGTATGTTCCTAAATATTTGTATTATTGTCAAATTCTATCATTAATAATTGTCATTATGATCAGAAACGCAAGCGCGATTACCCGGTAACACCAAACAAACCGATTATCCGACCAGAGATGGAAAGAATGTACCCGCAAATGTCTTTCACGAAAAGAGTTAAGGCTGTTGTTCTTGAAGATGAATCAAAAGAAGCTGAGTCAGGAAAGGATGGTCAAAAAACTGAGGTTACTTTCGAAGATGGCTCAGAAGATGAATCAGAAGATTTAGAAAACGATGATCAAAGAGCTTTTGAAGGCGGGTTGGAAGGTTTGGAGAAAGATGGTCAGAATAATCCATTCATAGCCATAGACTGGCATGCGTGGCTAGAAAGAATTCTGGAAGTCAGTAAAAAAGCTACCTAATTATAAGAAATAACTGCCGAATAATCGTTTATGAGCTGAACTTGCTAATCTTTTTCTCTATTTTTTTGCAGTTTCCGATTGAAGAAGCCCGAACTAAAATTTTGACATATCAATATACACCTACAAATGGATTCGAAGAAATCATGATTAAGTATATCGGAAAAGTGCTTATGGACTTGTAAGTAACTTTTGTCCCTTTAATGTGTAATATGTACTCTAATTCATGTATAATAAAATGTTGTTTTGATCATTAGCATAAACAAAATAATCGATATTCCCGGTCATGTAATGACCATTGACGAAGTTGAAAGAGATTGGAAATTTTCTCCGCTATTCACTTTTATGCAAGCGACGTTCGTAAACAAGATTAAATTTCACTGGTGAGTGCTGTTCTTATAAATTTATTGTTAACTATTTACATATTAATTGTAAACCATAGGATTGAACACGATATTGAACCAACACACAAACGACTTGTATCCGAAGGCAATACTACAAACAAAGGTCGAATGAAAGCGGATGTAGTTGGAGTCCGGCTTTCAGACAACCGGCAGGTTGTCTTTTTGGAAATGAGTGGTGCTCCAACAGACTTTTTAAAGGTGCATTCAGTTGGAGATACATGTAAGACGCTCCAAGAACGAATTGATTCCCTAAATTCAATGCTTTTAAATTATTTAAATTATGACGTAAGATTCGCAGCTAGAATTCGTTCACTAACGATTCAGGGGATTAGTGAGTATTCTTTTTCCCTTAATTGTTATTTGGATCAAAAGACTGACTTTCATTTGTTATTTTTTAACCGTTTTAACATAGGAGATCGACTAACTCTTAGAACAATATTTTTAAGAGGAAAAGATGACTATAGGGATGAAGAAGAATTTTCTGCGATTTTTCCACTTAGTTGGGACTTCCGGTTCCAATTCATTGAAATATTTGAATTGATGGAGTTCGTAATCATATCCGTTTTAGAATATCCAGATGTCATAAGGGAACTAATTAAGCATCTAGCAACCTCACCTGAATTTTCAATCCGAAACTGCATTTCGTGTTCATAGCATTAATTTTATTTTCAAAGCAAAACAATAAAAAATAAAAAATAAAAAATAAAAAATAAAAAATAAAAAATAAAAAATAAAAAATAAAAAATAAAAAATAAAAAATAAAA